AGAATGCCAGATCTGGGAAAAGAATCAAGGCTGGCTTGTCTGCTGTACAGTTTAAACAAATATTTTTCATCTGGTCTGCATATTCTATGCTTTTGTACAAATTTAGCATCTGTTTGTACCTGCGTATTTTAACTTAAGAGCTTTCATTAATTTTTTTTCTCTTTTTTTTACGCTTCAAAGCCATAAACATGTATATTTATACCACAGCATTGTATGCTGGTTGTAAAGCTCTGAATTAAGTCATTCTGTGCTTTAGTTTTGATTAGAATGATACAATTAGAACCTGTTATTCTACCAACTAATTACTTGTAGAGTGTGACATCTGAAGAATACTACAAGATTACAATTTTAGGAATGAACTGAGAATGTGCTCTGTTTATATTATTCCCCTATCTTCAGTCAAATCATTGTCATGGAAATGGGTTATACTGGGCCAGACTCTGTCCTCATCAAAATCTTTTTTTGCAAAAAAAAAAAAAAAAAAAAAAAAAAGAAGAGTAATAAAAATTTTAATGCTTCATGTATCAATAACATTTTAATAGCATGCTTTGATCTTCTTGCCAGTCTATCACTTGATTGGCCGAGCAGCATCCATCTTCCTGAATCATCATCGACTGGTGTTTGTTTCTGGGAAATTCTCTCCTTTTTTAAAATTTATTTGGTCATTGTTGAACCACTTCTGGATGCCGTGTGCCATTTTATTTCTTGCAAGTGCATCTCAGTGAATAATTAAAGGCAATTTTTTTCACTTAAGTCTCAAATACTAAATTCCTTTATTAAAAAGAAAAGGAAAGGGAGAGGTTTTGTGTTTGTGCATGTCTTCAGATAGAGAAAAGCTGGCATTTAGAAGTTGAAAAGCGGAGGAAGAAATGCTCTGTATATATTTTTTTTTGCCTATGAAAACCCTTTGGAAGGTTAAATCCTATCCAGGCTGCATGTGTGAATACCTGTTGCACATGAACTAACAAATTAGCAGAAAGAAACCAAATTTGACAGGCAGTGCCAGGCAGGCTGAAACACCCAGGAAAATTGTTCTCCCCAGTGATGGAACTTCTTCTAAAAGCTATTTTTATTCACTCTGAACCCCCAGGTTCATGGAAAGTAAACTGATCCATAAAAATACATAATAAATAATTTTACACGTGTCATGCTCATTTGCATGTGCATTAACCCAATTTGTGGCCATAAAGGCAGACTTTGTCAGTGCACAGAAGATGCAAACAAGTAGTAGTGGCAGAGGACTTCCTACAGTTGGGGATTTGTCACATTTCTGCACCACTCAATATTAATACTTGCTGTGCCTGAAACGAGGTTAAAATGACGGTGACAGCTCAGATCTGTGTGGTGATAGATAGAGAGGGAGATACAAGAAGTTCTTACATTTTCCTTCTGCATTTGCATTTTCTTCCAGGTATAGATCTCACAGTGTCTCTTAACTGATTATTTCTTTTAAATAAGTAAGGGGGGGAAAAGGACAAAAAAAGAAAAAAAATCCCTTTTTCTCACCCGAAAAGGGGTTAGATTTGATATTGGGAAAAGCCCTTCGTTTACTCTGAACAAATAGTTCTGTTTTTCACCACTCGCTGTCGTGTTTAAAGTAAATAAGTTCTCGTCCCTGCAGCACTGCTGAACTCATTCACTTCCCAGAACAAAGCCATTGTGTAGAGGTCCACAAGAGCCCTTTTCTCTCCTTCCCCGAGCGGGATCTTCCCCAGCTTTGTGAGCCATTCACCACCCTGCCTGTGCTAAAATTGTGCCTGCTTTGTTTCACAGAAGAAATGAAGGAAGATTATGACACTATGGGGCCTGAAGCCACAATTCAGACCACTGGAAACAATGGTACAGGTAAGGCCTTGCACGGAGTGAGCATCACTTTTCTTTGGGATCACGTGGAGCTAGCTGTGCATGAAGAGGGAGAGTGACAACACAATCTATTTCTTGTTTTTAGTTAAAAAATTGGAAAATACGGACTTAATTCTCCTGGTTTTTAATTCCCCCCAGCTTGATCACAAGAGTGCAGTGACCAATTCATGCAGTGAAGAGTCCTCCTGTGTCCCACAGCATTTTAGCCCCAACTCCTTGTAGCTGCATCCTCAGGATGTGATAGTCCTCAGCAGTGTGAGATGTTTTCCCAGGCAGGATGAGCCTTGGATTGTTTAAAGTAGCTGGGCCAAGATACAGTGGCCTTTTAATGAGAGACTGTAGAGCTTGGTAATGAGGATGGGGTGCACCCTCCTTGGCAGCCCCAGATTTGGGTGGTGCAGAGAGTGAGCTGCTTCAGAGACTGAAAACATCTTTTCAGCAAGGCACACATAAACCCCTTGCATAGATCCATAGACACACACACACTATGAATGCATATTTATGAGATTATAATGTTTCTAATCGTTTGTTGGATTTTTTTTGCCACTTTTAGCATCATTTTCTTTCCCTCTTCCTAGAAATGAACACATTTGGTGGCACAAGAAGTGTGACAGAGATATTTAGCAGACATCACCTCTGAGCCATCTCTCTTTTTCTGTAGCAGAGCAAACCAGCAAAAGGTTCCTGTTGCTATTTCCAAATCCAAATGAATTCAGGGATTTACCATGTTCTTTCCAAAGGCCTCATTCTATCCTCAGCACAGCTGAATGCCATACATCACCCAGTGTTTCTTCTGCATTTTGTCACAATTTGAGATGTTGCAGATAGATTTACACAGCTAAAAGGAAGAGTTTTCTAGTGTAAGTACATTTCTATCCATTCCATTATGAAATTTAGTTAGTAGGTAATACTCTCCACAAATATTACTGTAAAAGGTGGTACCAAAGTGTCACAAGGATTTTATTACTCACACTTTCCTAATGTTGGTAACACCCACATAAAACCCCAGTGCTCTTATTAAGCAGCACAAGAAATTTACTTTATCATTCTTGAGGGGGAAAATAATAGGAAAATAAAACTGTATCACTGCTTTCTTCATCCATGAGATTTATTATGCATGAAAGGAGGGTGGCACCGAGGCACAGTTCATCATTACATATGTACTTAATGATGTTGCTGTGCAGAACTGGCTGCATATGTATCTCAAAAGCTTATTTTATTTCCAAGAGATGGCAATAAAGTGAAAAACTGTGTTTAGCACTCAGAGAAATAGGATTTTAAAAGACATCTGATTCAGAAACAAGGTTTGATGGTTATCTGAATTACCATTACCAGAACCTCTGAGGTCCCCTATCAGTCCGTGTGACTTCCTTTGCACATATTTTCGTTGCCATAACAGGCCTTGACTCCTTCATGCTTGCAGTGTGGTCTGCATGAAGGGGAACACTTCATGTCCTCTCAGTCCCTTCCCTTCCACTGTCTGATGTCCTTGTCTTCCAGCTCATTTTTGGCCTCACAAAATCTCTCTGGAGGTGCCATGGAGCCCTGGCACAGCCCTGTGCCAGCCCTGAGCTGGTTCCATGGGGCATCCTGCCTCTATTGGAACCAGTTTTGCATGGATGAAATAAGGGTTACCCCTACCCAGCTTGATGCACTGCAAACTCATGGCTCAAAGGGGTGCTTTGCATTTAGGTGGTCTGCATTTAAAATGAAAAAGCTTCTCTGTGTGTTGCTCCTATCAGTTACTCCCCGAAATGTCCCGTGCAAGTCCTAGGCTCCTCTTTACTCTGGCTGCCATGGGAGGCTTGCTCAAATAACCATCACAAGTTGCTCTGACAGTGTTTAATTCAAGTCTTTTGTCACTTTTTGAGGTGTTCAAAGTCCCTTTCAGTGGAGGCTGGTGCCTTGTCAGGTTGAGTAGAACATGTTTCTTTAGTTGCTGCAATGTCAGTAGAATCTTAAGAGCAATGTCAGATTACTTAGGCATATTAAATACTTTTATAAATTAAATGTTTATGCCAATATTTTCACCTTGAGAGGGAGATGCCAGGTGACTATGAGTACCTGTAGTTTTCTTTATTAGGAATAAAAGCTCCCCTTCATGCCCAGTGAGGTTTCTCAACCATTATTTGACAAGTAAAGGGAAGAAATCAGTCCCTGAGCTTCAGGAGATACTTCCTGGATATCTGGGAAGTGTTCAAAGTTTTCTTCTTGAGCCTCACTATAGGCTTTGGGCCTGTCTTGTATGTGTGGCCTCAGTTTTTCCCTGCAGGTTATAGGGCATCTAATACTGATATTCAATTAAGTAGCAGAGGTGAGGCTGAAACTCAACCCAATGAAAACATACATCCAACCAGAAAATTTCTGTACGTGTGTGCAGTATCTGTGGTGCACTTTTAGCATCAAATTCTCTGCAAAATATAATTAGTAGAGAAAGAAAACTAGAAGAAAAATTCTTCATTATTAAATCATTCTGCTATTGTCAGAGTGGCCACTTCCTAGTGGTACTTAAAGAAAAATCTTGTTATCTGTACATTAATCAGCTGCATTTTTATAATGAGTCATGGAGGCTTCATAGTGAAAAAGCAGAAGTGACCATTAGGGTGAAAATTAAGGATTTTGGTCCTGCTAAATGAATTTGTAAATATTTCTGGGGATTTCTGCAACAGGGACTTGAAAAACTGTCATTTAGCAGAAGACGTTTTTAAAAGGTGAATGAAGAAATTCTTCTGGTTTATTTTATTCTACCTTTTATGATTATTGCAACTGGGATGCTTGCAGAGAATGGATTAACAAAATCCCTGTAAAAAAGCAGAAAAATTTTCCTGTTTTTGATTAGTAACATCTGTCAAAATTCAAGTGAAGATCTCTTAACATAATTTAAAGAAGGGAAAGAAAAACTTTCAGGGGGAGGAAAACAGAACCAAAACTTGGCAGATTGGAGGACAGGCCGTTTTCAGGCTGTAATCTGTGTGTACCAATGGGGGCCTCTCACTTCCTGGCTAATGAAGGCTGTGGTTTTATTAGCTTTGTTTGCGATTAAGGGCAGCTATCACCATCTCGCAGGACGAGTTCCCACACAAAATAACTGGTCTCCCAAGCTCCTTGGACCTCTCTCTCACTTTATCTTGAAAGGTCCTAAATGCCTCCAAAGATAGCTTTCCTTAACGTGTTTTATTTTTTAAGTGACACAGCCACATCAGCTTTTGGAGCTGAAAATATTTCTGCTTTCCAGGCTCCAATAATTAATTAAAAAAAGACTTATTTGGTGAGGTCACCCACCATAGATCTCGCTGAAATCCTTGCCTCGCAGGAGGGGATGTGCAGTGTGTGTGCAGTGCCAGCCTACAAGGAGTCTGGGAACATGGCTTTGTACATGGAAAATAAATCAGGGCATGGAGGGGGGAAGCAAGTCTTCCACCCAGAAGATGAGAGACAAACCTAATATTTGTCAGATGGGTCATTTTAGTACCTCTGTGTGAGCTTCCAGCCATGTCTGAATTGTCAGTAATGCTGCTGGTGAGAAACCAGCCCCACATGGGCACCCTTGACTGTTTGTGTTAATCTGCAGCACTGCAGCACTGGTTGTATTGTGTCAGTGAAGGGTCTATCAGCTTTTCCACTAAATCCCCTTGTTTTTAGGGGTTTATAATGTAGACGTAAACATTTGCTTTAGCTCCTGGATTGCATGTACAGACATAGAAGCTAAATAATCCTGAGAATTAGGAAGCCAAGGCTGGTAATATCGCAGCAGTCCTCCACAGCCTGGTGGATCAGCCTCCAGATAGACTTGGGGGCACGAAGGAAGAACCTCATTTGGGTTTGAGTTGAGGATGCAAGCTCCTAATATTAACTCAGGCCTTGCTTAGTAGCTTGAATCCTAATCCTATAAATGCAGTTGCAAACTCCTCGTTTACCTGGGGGAGAAAAGGGACACATGAGACCATCCCATGGAGCCCTTCAATTTCTCCTCTCTGGAGAAAAGCTCCCTCCCTCTCCTTGCTTCACTTACTGGCTCATGGCCTATATTTGGCAAAATTAAACTTGTTTTCCTTGGGTATATTGCTAAAACAAGAGCAGGAGTGGAGCTTGAGTAGTGCTAAGCCAGAGGATAGATGATCTTTTAACACCTGGAAGATTTAGGCCATAACAGGGGAATGGCAAGTTAGATTTACAGCATAAAAAATAAAGCCTCGGGGTTTTTTTTCTGATAAAAACAAGAACTTCTACACCTACTGTGATGCTCTTGTGCATAAGGTGTTCTCAGTAAGTACCATTTTGTTATATTTCTGTCCCAGAACAACATGGAGGAAAAGTACTCTTCCTTCTTCTCCACACTCACACTTCCCTTCTCTAGAAGTTGCTTTATTTTGGTGTTGAAAGGGGAGAATTTCTTCTCATGCTATTAACAAATGGTAACTGGAGCTGCAGTAGGACCAAGAGGAGCTCTGTGGTGGTGCAGCCATTCCCTACAAAACCACTGTGATAGGCACAGAAGTTTCCTTCCAAAACCAGTGTCCTGTGTCCTGTGCCATTTGGTCACTGTCACTAAAATACTACAGAACAGTTGAGAAGCTGCTCAGCTGGTATGAAAAATAGGGCATATTCGTCTCAGCCAGAGGATTTGATTTTATCGGCTAAAGGGATGAGGTTTACAGAGACGGATATCTACTTTTATCGATGACGCCGAGATCAGAGCTTCAAATCAGGCGCTGCAGGCTCCCAGTTGTGCCCCAGTCAGAGGTCATGTCTCATTTTCACTGCCAGCATCACTGCCTTGCATTTTCAGAGGAGACTGGGCAAAGCCTTCACCCATTTCTAAACACCAAGGAGCGGGTTAGTCTCTCATTTCCAGTGGTTAAAGCCATAGCCCCCTTGATTTCCACATCTTTACTCCATGTTGATCCTTGGCATCACTAACAGCAGAATTGTGCTGTTTAGTATTTTCCTTTTACATCAACTCCAGAACAGTCCATGGTGTTTCCTCATTTTCTTATTTCACCTCTGCAGAGATACATTAAAAATTTAATCAATCATAAGTTGTTCTTTTTATTTATGTTCAGTTAAAAACAAGTATCTTTAGTTCCCTGCCACCAACTGTGTCTTTCAAGACTTGTTAATAAACAAAGTAACACAATATAGGGGAAGAAAATGGTAATATTTTTTTTTCTTTTCTAGTATAATTATATTATTTGTCTATAACACCCCAGAGTTTTAAGGTCTTTCCTGTAAGCAGTGTTCATACTTGGAGGAGAAAAGCACATTTCTAGTAACAGGATGCTTTGTGTCTGAGTAGGTATTATGTTTCATGGACATTGCATGGATAATAAAAAACTGAGGTTACATTTTAAGAAAAGAAAGAAAACTCTTGTATGGATTGTCAAGGTGGTTTTGGGCTTGGTGACCCTGTTATGGTCTAAACCATGTGGCTCTATTGCAGAAATCATGAAGCAATAAGTTTTTAAAACATCCAATTCTCTCAATATAAGTTAATTTTTCAGGGAGGAAAAAAAAAAAGGGGGAAGATGTGAGCAACTGTCTTCTTGTGCCTGACAAAGAGTAGCCTGAGGAAGACCTGTCTCAGAAAAGTTTGGTCTTTTACTACAGCAATTGCCATCTCCCACATGGGGACTGTCTCAGGGGTCCAGGGGCAGCTGAGCTCAGTCCTGTAGGTCGAGCTGTGCTCATGCCAAAAGCTGTGGGACCCCCAGGAGCCCCATGAAGGTTGTTCAGGTTCCAGCAATGAAAGATTACCTGCATTACCCAAGCCTCATAAACTTCTCCCTCTGCCCTGTAGAGCCCCGTGTTCTTATTAATTTAACTGCCTGCCCTTACTTCCATCCACACTGGTAGAAAGCCCACGTTAATTTTATTGGGAGCTGGAGCAAGGATCCAGCTGTAGCCCCAGCCTTGTAGCTCCAGTAAATCTGCCCCACCTCTAACATTGCTGACTGGCCCAGGCTCTCTGGGACAATGCACTCAACCACCCTTTCTTTTCCCTCTCTCTTGTTTAGTGAAGAACGCAAATTGCACGTCGGACTTCGAGGAATATTTTGCCAAAAGGAAACTGGAGGAAGGAGATGGGCATGCAGTCAGCATAGCAGAGTACCTGCAGCGCAGCGACACAGCCATTATTTACCCTGAAGCCCCTGAGGAACTGTCTCGCCTTGGCACTCCAGAGGCCAATGGGCAAGAAGAAAATGGTGAGGCTGTAATTCATTTTTAGCCAGTATCCTGACCTCGTGCAGCTGTTGCAATTATAAATGCACTACATGCCTGGGTGTTTACCTTAAAAATTGAAGAACAGCTGCAGCGGCATGGAATTTCATGAGCAAAGATTGGGGCTGTAATTTCAGTGTATTGTGATTTTTTAGTCAGCACATTTGTATTATTTGGTGGGTGAACTGGAGAGCTGAATTTAAAGAGGAGAAAGGCTGCTGCTCTACTTGGGAGTTTGGGAAGTTTTAATAGAGTTTTAATGCAACAAAAGACAGAGTAGCCAGCCTCTTGCTCTCCAATGCCTTGATAAATAATTGGAGAAGAGTCAGTAGGAAGGATTCGGTCAATGGCATAAGTAACATAATGAGCTGGGGCTGGAATGCAAATTGCCAATTGATCAGGAAAAGTATTTCTTAGTTTTCAAGGCAGCCAGGTCTGCGGGAGGAGTGATGCCCATAATTAATTTCCCGGCGGGGTCCAGAGCGGGCCCTGCGAGTCTGCCGTGGGCGTGCGCGGGTGCCGGTGCCTCCCGCCGCTGGTTGGAAGCGCCGTCCCTCCCTCCCGGGCAGCAGATTGCGGCGATTCCTCTCATACCATCCCGGGCAATCAGCCCATGAGCTGCCATTGATTTGCTGACCTTTTGGCCTGCCTCTCTTCCCTCCCCTCCCCATCCCGGGGTGCAGACCTGCCACCTGGAACTCCAGATGCCTTCGCCCAACTGCTGACCTGCCCCTACTGCGACCGGGGCTACAAGCGCCTGACGTCCCTCAAGGAGCACATCAAGTACCGCCACGAGAAGAACGAGGAGAACTTCTCGTGCCCTCTCTGTAACTACACGTTTGCCTACCGCACCCAGCTCGAGCGGCATATGGTGACACACAAGCCAGGGACAGATCAGGTGGGGGGCTGGTTTTAAGTGATTTCTTTCTGTAATAACCCCTTAGAGAAACGATATTGCTTTGATTGGCAATCATTATTAATTTTTCATGGCATTTTGAAGATGCAGATCTTTTAATGGTAATAGCTTTAATTGAGGTCTAAATGATTTTTTGATGGTCTCTTCTAATATGATTTAATAGTCTTATGTTCACGATCGAATGAGTGTGTTAATTTCTAATTTAGAAATTTTATTTGCACTTTAACTTGACTTTAGTTTCGTTTTTATGTTCCTCAAAAAGTGAATGAAACTGTAGCATTTTAATTATACATTATTAAACATCTCAGCAATTTCAATTCCATTTTTCACCTAGTTTTACTTTGCAGTGTTGCAAATAGGAGCTCCAAGACATACTAAAAGATCCGCTAATATTTTTTCATTACTTTTTGAGTAACCTTTTCAATCACATGAAATTATGCGTATTTTGTATAATCGTTTGTTAGACATAATTACACATTCTGAGAAGAACTCTTCCGACAGTACATAGAGGCTATCATTTGTGATTGTGCCACTAGAATTGGGCATTGCTCTCATTTGTATAGCCCGGCAGTGTATCTGCAATAAATCAAAGCCGTTTTTTCCTCGATGGGGCACATGTAATATTATATCAGTGCCACATTTAAGGAAATGCTGGTGTCTCAAACAGGTGACTGAGCTTCCCTAGTGCTCCTAGATGGGCTGGTGATAGACCTGTGCCACAAAATTCTTTACACACCAGCAGAAAAACTGTTCCTAGGTGGAGAATTACTTCTAAAAACCCATCTTAAGGAGGGCTGTAATGGAAACTTAAATGGTGTGGTTAAAAGTTGAATAAATAGATGTGTGCATTGTGTCAAATTATAAAGGCTTTATGCTGTATTTATTTTTCTTAAAACCTGAAAATCACAATCTGCTGGATTTCTCTTGGTAGGTTTTTCTCAGCAGAAGGTAAATTCAGTTAGGCAAACACACATCTTCCTAATCACGCGATTTTTGCAATTAGCATTTTTAAGAGAACCGTATCTTTTGCTTGATCTTAAATCAATACAAATGACTCCAGAGCGCTTTCTCCTTTCTTTCCTTCCCATGGCTTTTCCAGTAGACAAACAGATTTTCCCATGTATATTTTTCCTAACCTGATCCACTGTAAGGTTCTTCCTTTTGCCTCGTATCATTAAAAACACCAGGGGAGGGAACAAAACCCGCCTGGATATTTATCCAACGTAACTGCCTGAAATTTCACATGCGAGAGCGCACTGGTACTGGCGCATTATGAATGGTAGCTTTGGTGTTGAAAAGTCCCCTCATTTGCTCATGGCATTTACAATTAGTAAATTAAAATGATTGTATCATATTAACAGTGGCACAACTAAAGTTTATAGTAGTCCTCGGAGGGCGATGGGGGGAGACAAAACAGCTGTTGCTGTTTGTTTATGCAACTCAGCAACATATGAGCGCGGGTCCCTCAATGGCGCGCGGCGGGCTGGGCTCTGCTTGATCTTTGAAGGTTGCTGCTGTTTGAACAAACCTCCCTGTGTCCCATGTAACACCATCTGTCTCGCCAGGAATGTGGGAAGAGGCAGCACACCCTCGCAGTTGTCATACCGTTTCGGCGCTGCCTTTTTTTTTTTTTCTTTCCTTTTTTTCCCCCCCTTTTTCCCCCCTCCCTGCTCCTGCAAAAGGCTTTTGTGTCGTGGTTGCCTGCAAAAGGCTGACCTCCTACCTTGAGCATCCAGAGTGGCTACATGATTATCAAGATAATAATTATTTTTTAATTAATTTTTTTCCCTCTCCAAATTCAAAGTCATGGGGCTTTCCTTGCTTGTTACAAAAAGGTCAGCTTGCTTTGATTATATCTTTACACCCCTTTTAACTTTCAACTTTCCCTCGCCCCTCAGAAGAGCACCAGGGAAAAACATGGCATGAAAGGTAGCTCAAGTCTTTCCTGCTGCCCTGTGATTTAAAAAAAAAATTCCAGCAGCAGCTTATGCTGAAGATGCAGTCTCTCTTGCTTGATAATGAATTAAATCTTACATGAAATGCCACTAACAACAGTGTTTCTCTCTTTCCTCCACATGCAGTAAACAGAATTTTTAAACAAGCTGAGTCCCACATGTTCAGAATCTGCTAGGAATATTAAGAGCCACAAATCTTCTTATAAAACTGTTTCTCTCATCATAAGATACCTTAAAGCAACACATTTCTGATGAGAGACTTAGGAAATAATTCTAAAGCAAATATCGAATGCTCATGTGAAAGTACTTTCTCATTTGTTTCGGTTTACTGCCAACATTTTGATTTTTATTGCAACGCTGATGAGACAAATAAATGTACATGCAGACCTTTTGGTCTGCTTGATGAATTCAGAGTCGCATTAATTTAATTTTTGTTTTTTAAGCTTGAAATTCATGGTTTCTCTTGCATAAAATTCATGTTGGTATCTCTTTTGTTTTCTTCTTTTCCTCCCAGCACCAAATGCTGACCCAAGGAGCAGGCAATCGTAAGTTCAAATGCACTGAGTGTGGCAAGGCCTTCAAATATAAACACCATCTGAAGGAACACCTGCGAATTCACAGTGGTGAGTAGCGGAGGTGCTGGTGTGCTCATTTGCATTTTGTTTAATTAGCTGAGTTTTAAAGACTGCTTAAAATTTACACAGTTCTGCTTCTGGCTTCTTGGAGCTACCAAGGTATTTCATAAGTGATATCTGAGTCATCCTCATTTATCATGCTGTTAATACCACGGTCTTGCTAAAAGATTTGGAAATAGTAAATGTTCCTGCAAGTAATATAGATTGTTTGGCAGTTTGAATTCAGAAGCATTCATTCATCGCTGTGCAGTGGGAACCCAAAGAGTCCATTATATTTTCCAAAATAAAAAGTCCCCCCCACTGAAATACAGCTCATATTCTCAGATAACAAGAAACTGCCAAGCCTCTCAGATTTAATGACTTGGGCATTTTGGCTCTCCTACTTGATGCAGAATTCAGCACACAAAATGTCACCAGGCTCAGCCCGGGCACAAACTGACGTGGAGGTTCTAACATCAGGACTCAGTTTCTCATACTGGTGCTTATATCTGGTGAGAATTCCATTTTGGGGGAGGAAATAAAAAAAAAAATCTAATTTGAACAGTCTTGATTTGATTTGACTCTCTTCCCCACAGGGTGCTTACCTGTGACTTGCCCTGGTCAGTCTGGAGCCAATCTCACACTTTGATGGCTGTTGCTGCCTGGAGACCCTGGGTCCAAACTGACCTCAAAACCTGTAGAAAGAGGAGGGTAAAGCAGTGGTGGTGTGTGGCCAAGTTCAGAGAATTAATATTTCCTTCACTATTAATCTCTGGATGCACAGGCGATCAGTTAGGTACCAAATGCAAACTCTTGTAATTATAGCAGCAAGAATGATAAGTAACATTTGGTTTTAATTATCATTTTAGGTGAAAAACCATATGAGTGTCCAAACTGCAAGAAACGTTTCTCCCATTCTGGCTCCTACAGTTCGCACATCAGCAGCAAGAAGTGTATTGGTTTAATCTCTGTAAATGGCAGAATGAGAAACAATATCAAGACGGGTTCTTCTCCTAATTCTGTATCTTCCTCTCCTACTAATTCAGCCATCACGCAGCTGAGAAACAAGCTGGAGAATGGCAAACCACTTAGTATGTCTGAGCAAACAGGCCTACTGAAAATTAAAACAGAACCACTAGATTTCAATGAGTACAAGGTTCTTATGGCCTCACATGGGTTTAGTGCAACTAGTCCTTTTATGAATGGTGGACTTGGAGCAACCAGCCCCTTAGGAGTTCATGCGTCTGCTCAAAGTCCAATGCAGCACTTAGGTGTAGGGATGGAAGCACCATTGCTCGGGTTTCCTGCAGTAGGCAGCAATTTAAGCGAGGTGCAGAAGGTCCTACAGATTGTGGACAACACGGTTTCCAGGCAGAAAATGGACTGCAAGGCTGAAGAGATCTCCAAGTTGAAGGTTTACCATATGAAGGATTCATGCTCTCAAGCCGAGGAACAAGGAGTTACCTCCCCCAATATTCCCCCCGTGGGTCTTCCAGTAGTAAGTCATAATGGTGCCACTAAAAGTATTATTGACTATACATTAGAGAAAGTCAATGAAGCCAAAGCTTGCCTCCAGAGCTTGACCACAGACTCGAGGAGGCAGCTCAATAACATTAAAAAAGAGAAACTGCGAACCCTAATAGACCTGGTAACTGAAGACAAGATGATAGAGAACCACAACGTATCCACTCCATTTTCATGCCAGTTCTGTAAAGAAAGCTTTCCTGGTCCCATTCCGTTGCATCAGCATGAGCGTTACCTGTGTAAAATGAATGAAGAAATCAAGGCAGTCCTTCAGCCTCATGAGAACATGGTTCCCAATAAACCTGGAGTGTTTGATAAGCAAACCCTCTTGCTGTCATCAGTACTTTCTGAGAAAGGAATGACTAGCCCCATCAACCCATACAAGGACCACATGTCTGTACTTAAAGCATATTATGCTATGAATATGGAGCCCAACTCTGATGAACTACTGAAAATTTCCATTGCTGTTGGCCTTCCTCAGGAATTTGTGAAGGAATGGTTTGAACAAAGAAAAGTCTACCAGTATTCAAGTTCCAGGTCACCATCACTGGAAAGGGCCAGTGCCAAGGTGGCGCTGGCTGCCACCAACAACACTCCCACTAAAGACTCTTTGTCAGCCAGATCTCCAATAAAGCCTGTGGACTCTATAACTTCACCATCTATAGCTGAACTCCATAACAGTGTTACTAATTGTGATACTCCTCTCAGGCTAACAAAACCTCCTCATTTTACCAATATTAAGCCAGTTGATAAATTGGACCACTCTAGGAGCAATACTCCTTCTCCTTTAAATCTTTCTTCCACATCTTCTAAAAACTCCCACAGTAGTTCTTACACTCCAAACAGTTTCTCTTCTGAGGAGCTTCAGGCTGAGCCATTGGACTTGTCTTTACCAAAACAAATGAAGGAACCCAAAAGTATTATAGCCACAAAGAACAAAACAAAATCTAATAGTGTAAATTTAGAACACAACAGTGTTTCTTCATCATCTGAAAACTCAGATGAGCCGCTGAACTTGACTTTTATCAAGAAGGAGTTTTCTAATTCAAATAATCTGGATAAAAGCACTAACCCAGTATTTGGTATGAACCCATTTAGTGCCAAACCTTTATACACAACACTTCCACCACAGAGCGCATTTCCCCCAGCCACTTTTATGCCACCAGTCCAGACCAGTATTCCTGGGCTGCGACCATACCCAGGACTAGATCAGATGAGCTTCCTACCACATATGGCCTATACCTACCCAACTGGAGCAGCTACTTTTGCCGATATGCAGCAAAGGAGAAAGTACCAGCGGAAACAAGGATTTCAGGTAAATGGTTTCAACTGTTTTCTGCTTTGAAAGTCTAGAATTTAGTATTTTCTGATGTGTCCTCTTAGAGAAGAAAAAGCCCAAAGCTATAATCAACATTTCCAACAAAATTAGCAGGGTTTATTTAAGTCTGAACTTGGAAAGATGTGGCGTAGTAGGAAAATAAACTGCAGTTAACTTAAGAGTACTTCTGCTTGGATTCAGAAGCAGTACCAATTACTTTGAACAGGCATAATGACCTTTGTTCCATTAAGAGTTCAGCCATTTCTCCTTATATTTGTATAGCAATATAATAATAATAATAATAATAATAATAATAATAATAATAATAATAATTCATATCCTAAAGGGAAAAAAGAAGGAAACTTTGTAGGAAAACTTAGCTCTTCAGGGCATAACTAGAATTCACCACAGACAAAAGGAGCAGTGGGAGACCCCTTTGGAGTCACCTCCACACTCGGATGCAAAGTTGTTGTATCCCTCTAAGCAGATGTCCATACAGCCTCATAGACACTGTAATCCATTGAAAGCCTTCAGAGCTTCCATCTCTATATCTTTGGGGGATTGTTCATCCACCATTCATGGGAAAGTTGTCCTCTCTTCTCACAAATGTCTGGAGGATGAGAAACATTGACCAATAGCCCCTTCCTTTGGGCTACCTACTGGTCTTCCCAGATTCTTAGTCCTCTAATCCTGCCAGTCATCTGGAACAGCTTTGAAAAAACCCCCGAGATTAAATTAAATTATTTGGAGAGGTAGCAGCCAGGGCCCTTAATTGCAGACAAAGTCTTTCCCTGGACACATAATCTGGGTCAGCACTTCTTGGTGCCCAGGTACAATTTGTAATTCCTCCCCCAGTTCGTCCCAGAGTCAACACAGGTGTAGCAAAGGATTTTGTCCTTTGCATGCCTGCAGTGAAGAGCAACTCCACAGAAGTCTTGTACTTTTATAGCCTTTTGCTGGGTGTATTCAGATATAATGTACAGAGTTTAGTTAAATGAGATTAACTGATTATAGATTAATAATTTTTTCTTACATTTGCGCCTGTTCCCCCATGTCCTATTACCGTCCATTAGTAATTTTACTGACTAGTAAATGTTTTATAGTTTCAAATGTGAAAATCAGGTATGGTTTTACATTACAGACTGTAATCCCTCTTTGCACAATAGGAGCATAAATAGCACTGCACCTCCATAACAGCTGTTCCACTATTCCAATTTACAGTACATCTGCCCTCTTTGTAAATGTATTTAAGCCTATTTAATCTTCTCTAATATTAATTAGTGCAAACCTAGTCTAAGAAAACTGAACTGTGTGATAGCAAATGGAAATGTATGTTATCATGCAAGTTTGCACTCTCTTTGGATCGAGACAAAATAAATATCAAGAAATTTAATAATTTACTGATCCACATTCATTATTGCTTAATGCTGAAGGCTGTTTTAACATAGATAGAACATTGATAAAAAGTGTTATTAATATTCCCTATTTCAAATTACAAAATTAAATATAAAAATATAGCTTGAGGCCTTTAGTCGGGAGACATACATTTAAATGGATTGCATAATAATAACATTTGTACCTAAATATAAAATTCAATTAAAACCTTTCTACAGATACAGAATACACCCAACTTTTGGAATTTTGAGAGGAATGATCCCTTAGCTGTTGCTTACATTTACCTCTGTAAAATAATACAATACCTTTTACTGGCCATGAAGAGCTTCCCCTTCACACTTCCATGGAAATATTTAGTGCTGATACAGTAAATACTGTTGGTTTGTGCAAACCACATTACTGCAGAGTGCTCAAAGACAGAAAGTTGGTTTGAGGCATAGGAGTAGAAGGCTCCTTGTTATTCCCATACTTTCCATCAGCTGCAGTCTCATTATTCATATTCCTAAGCTGAGAGGGAGCACCAAGGCGTGACTGTAACTTCCCTGGGGTGGTTGGTGGGCAGGATGGGTGGCGGGAGCAGCTTTCGCTGACGAGTGGCTCCCTCACAGGGAGAATTGCTTGATGGAACCCCAGACTACATGTCCGGCCTCGACGACATGACGGACTCCGACTCCTGTCTGTCCCGAAAGAAGATCAAGAAGACAGAAAGTGGCATGTACGCGTGTGACTTATGTGACAAGACATTCCAGAAGAGCAGTTCCCTGCTGCGACACAAATACGAGCACACAGGTAGGGCAGCCGCGCACGCCGAGGGCAGGATTGAGGGTCGGGCTTTGTTCTTCACAGTCATTCATGAGTACATTTGTGCAGGTGCTGAGGCTTTCAAAAAATTATTTTGTTCTGTTTTGACTTATTTTTTTAATTTTTCTTGATGGTTATTGCTTGGTGAGGGACAGTTGGGTGTGATGGGGTAAATGTTGGTAGGTGCTGTGGCAATCATCATCTCCAAGGCCAAGACCTCTTGAAATGAGACAGACCCTATCACTATACAACAATTGCAACTTGGTTAACACGAAGTCTGCCTTGGGAAGGAAGAGTGACAGTGTATTTCTTGTTTCTTAGACACTATCTGACCCTGCTCCGTTAATCCAATAGGAAAATGGCCACTGATGTTAGCAGCATGAGAGCTGGCTCTGGCCAAGTTATCTGAAAGTCAGCAGCTCAGGGGGTTTCCTCTCGCAGTGATTTTGCACACCAGCAGCACAAGCAGGTTGCAGTTCACTTTTTCACTTCCCAGTTAATGCCCAGGGAAGGTTCCCTTCTTTCCTGAGTAGGAAGTGATTTTTGTCTAGTTCAAGGAAGCTTGCCAAAGCTCACAATGCACTGTCAGCTTAAAAAATACTTTGGTTTGAAAAAGACCTTCTATCACACCTATGCTGGCCATGGTTCCCCTTACAAGCAGTGCTCCCTTCCCCACTGTCAGCCAGGACAGAGTTCTCTGAGGGCCACACATTGGCTTGGCATGTTTCAGTTAGGGGAAAATGGGACCGGAGCTTCCCAAATAATAGAGATATCAAGTTATGTTGGACAAAGGGAATGTGAATTATCATCTGAATTATTGTGCAGCAGGACATAAACCAAACTCCAACTTCCTAGAGTTAGGAAAAGTTTACTCAGGAGGAAACTTGCCTTAACTTTGAAAGCTGAGTCCTGCTTCAGGAAATGAAGCAAGTCACATCATCCTTCAATCTCACCATTTGAGGGTAAAAACCTTAAACCTCTCTATTAATACGTCTTCCAGGCCTCACATAACCCTTTGGCTTTTCACAAATGAAAAATTTACTATTCAGAAGTGGATGGTGCCTTTAAAACAAAATCCTTTACTTTGTTATTTTTCCTTCTTATACTTTTCTTCCAAATTTTAAGCTAATCCCACAATGGAAAATACAAAAGGAAGTTAAAATACACATGGGATTAGGAAAGAAAATTAAAAGCAACATTTTGGACTAGATCAGCCAGTTCATTGGCAGAATGTGCTTCCCACTACATTATTCAGATCAAATTGTTTATTCAGTAGAAGAAGCTTTGAAGGCTTTACGTCCCTGCACCTTTCCTCTCCTGAATGATTTTATTACAGCCATCTGCAAACATTATGGTTTACTACACTACTACTGTAAAGCTCTTATGTTAGAACTGGCCTTCATATATATCGGGATCTGGACATATGGTTGAATCCCATAAAGTTGGTAGTCCATAAGGTCGACAGACATATGGTTGAAAGGCTGAAAATTTGACAAGCTGAAATGTGTGCAATCACCTTGATTTGCAAAATAAACTGCATTTGTAATAGCAAAAATATGTTATGGTCTTGAAGTAGCATGGGAACCTACTGCCTAGAAAAATGCCACTCAGCTGCCACGCCAGGACTCTTCTGCTGCTTCTTTCCTCTGTCCCTTTTGGCTTCTCAACTTCACGTCCATCAATTTTATGGGACTCAGCCTTATGATCCAGAACATGTATAGGGTGTCAGATTTAATACAGTAGAACTGGAGCACATCATCAGGCTGGAGCCTGGCATTTAGGGACAGGAAGGATGGTCTCGTGGCAGAGGCACAGGCACTGAGATCATTGCACTCTCCCCTGCCTCACCACAGACTGCTTTTGTGAATTGCAGCAAGTTGTTTCAGCTTTCTCTCACCTTCTCCCATCTTTGAAACATGGGGAAATGATACCAGCCTGCTTCTCTGGGGTGTTGTAAATATTAATTCATGATATCCTGCGATGGAGCTCACTGGATAAAGAGGGAAGTACTATTATCAGGGATGTGTTTGCTTTTATGGAGCCTCAGTGCATCATGCCAGTGTTTGAGTGGGAGCTCTGAAGGGCTTGGCTGGGCCAGCCCCAATACCTGCACACTGCACTGGCACTCTGGCTAGTGGCTTCTGTACATCTCAAGTGAATTTCAAATTAATTTGATAGTTTCAGGCAGAACTTGTAATTGCATTAATAACATAGGTGTGAAACTGCAGTCCATGTTCAGTGGAAGGAACCGAATTGAAAGTAACACCCTCTTCCGCCTTTGGGGTCTTTGTAAGAGCAGGCCCAGATTTTTCAACCAACTTTTTGAAACCTAAAAAAGAGAAAAAAAGCCCTTTTTTTTTTTTTTTTTTTCTGAGGGTGTTGCTGTGTTCTGAGCAGCTGATCATGACCTGTTGTAGCTTCATTAAAAACATGTTTTAAGAGGAATTGGAATGCTCCCTGTCTTTCCTGGAGAAGCACAAAATAATGGCTGTTGTTTATAACAATCTCTTTTTTTCTGTCTAAAAAGAATATATGTGTTTTATTAGAACTTTGGGATAATCAGATTTTTATTTGTCACCCCTTCTTAAGTCCATGTATTGCAGCCAGCGATAGAACAAGGGTTTAAAGAGTCAGACAGAGGCCCCTAAGAATTTATCAAAGAGAAATAATTTGAAGCAAAACATTGACAGGTAAAACTACATAAGTTGTCTGAATCATTATTTATTGTTAATCAAGTGTTGTAAAGGAGAAAACAGGAATGTTTAGGTGCTGCAATGAAGCTGAGTTTTGGTGCCAGGGCAAGAAGAAAAGGATTTGGCCATTTCTTTTTGTCAGCCAAGAACTTTGGTGGAACCATGCGGCCGGCTGCAGGACAAAGAGCTCTGGGATTACCTCTGTACACCATGCCTGCCACAGCTGGAACAGAGTAGAAAAAGGGCCACAAATTTCACAATCCCTGCTTTTTAATTTGTGCAGTATTGGTGGCATTCTGTAATAGCTTTCAGCTTCATGGGGAGAATGAAAATTTATTGTGTTACTGCAATGAGTGAATTGCATTGGTTCTGACTCATCTGAAATTTAGTGTAGAGGCCACTGTTTGTTGCAGAACCAAATTCTGACAATTTAATTTTGGGATGCCATTGAATTTTGAGAGAAGTTATGTGTCCCTCTTAGAGTTTGAGCTTCACAAGGTCCTGTTTCCATGAAGCCAGGGGATGCAGTGCTGTAATTAGGGTGCAGAGCACCTCACTGCTCACATGATTTTCCTGTAGAATCTTATGGACTCATCCTAATTTGGACAGGCTGAAATTAGTTGAGCCAATATGGGATGTGTCTAATCTCAGATTTTTCCAAGCTGCTTAGCACAAGGTTCAAGACTTTCCTTATGAAAGGTGAAGAAGCTGGTTGCCTTCACGGCAAAGCATCGGTGCTTTGGTGAGCAAAAAATTCTTAGTGCTGCTGATAAGGAGGGAAGGCAGGAGTGGGTGAGTGAGCAGGTGAGCAAACAGAATGGAGCATCTAGAAATAGAGAAATATCCTGGCTCCTGGTCCAGCGATGGAGGAGTAAGGTGAAGGTTAATGTTTGTTCTGCCCTCGTCAACGCCCGTGTCTGCCACACACCAGCTTTGTTGTAGCTTCACAGGAGAACTCTCAGTGTGCCTGCTCCACAACAAAAGCTGGAAACAGTTTTTCAGAATCCTACCTAGAAATTTAAAATCCTTTCATTGTTGTTCTATATTACATCATATTCTATTTTATTACTTGTGTGGGCTGTCGAGGGCCTCATAGCTGTGCTAGGGCTTTCATCCTTTCCTTTTCCACTGTATATTTTATTAAGACCTCTTTTTTATTTTTGTAGCTTTCATGCTGATGCAAGCACTAGTTTTATTTCCAGATTGATTCTGTAAACTAAATATTGTTCTTGAGCCTGGTAGCAAATCAGCTCTCTCTGGCTAGTATTTTGAATTCCCAGCTTGGGAGTTTTCTTTATTTAGAGCTTGATTCATAAAAAATTTACATGCTATTTAAAGGTTATTTTTTCTTGCTTTACTCTGATACAAGTTTAGAATTCCCCATTTTACACTCAAATAAAGGGGAAAAAAAGGATATATGCTATGTTTCTGTCTGCAGACAAGGTCTCTTATTGAAAATGGAACAGGTGCAGCTTGGGCAATTATATATAAATTGCATTTATCTTGCACCTTTGACCGCTTTCCTATGCTCTGGCCACTAATCCATCTCCATTGGGACTACATCTAACATCCAAACCCCTGAGCAGCTTCAAAGGAACTGCCTTAAAAAATAATAAAAAACAAACTGTCACAAAAATGTTTCCTTCTTTCCTCTGAAGAGTGGGATTTCTGTTTGGCCCCCTCCCATGGAAAAGAGACCCACTTTGCCTTAGGCAAAGGATAGGTGATATTTAGTCTGGGACCAGTGACAGCTTGTGATCTGATGTCTTGTGACTTTTATACCACTGCAAATGGGAAATGCACAGCTTTTCAGTCAAAGACTTTTAGCCCAGGAAGATTGAGAGATACTTTCTATAAGAGATTTTTGTTGTTGTTGCCTTGTTTTAACAGAAATGCAATTTTAGAGACTTTGCAAACACATTAGTTCTAACTTCCCCTCTGTAAATTGAGTGTGGGCCCCAATGGGAACCTGTGTTTTGCAACAGAGCAAAAAAGACCCAAACATTTCCTATAGATATTTGATAGAGATTTATCTTTAAATTTCATTGCAAAATGTGGCATCTACATCACTTATCAATCTGATGAAACACAAGTGTTTCGTGAGCCCTTCTTTCAGCTTCCTTGGGTCCATCTGTCCCAGCTCCATCCCCCATGGATGACACAGGGCATCTCGGATGGGATTGGATACAACCTGTGGGGTGGGATGTCAAATCTGCTTCTTTTTGACTTGTTTCTAGTCCAATGGTGTTATGAATGTTGTGACTGCATGACAGTGCTCTAGGACAATGTGATGGCTTCAAAATGAAGAGTGGGTTTAGATATTAGGATTTCAGGTATTAGGGAGATATGACTAGGTATTAAGAAGAAAGTCTTCACTGTGAGGGTTGTGAGGCTCTGGCAAGGCTTAGAGCAGCCTTCTCTAGAGAAAGGTGTCCCTGCCCATGGCAGGAGATGAAATGAGATGAGCTTTAAGGTCCCTTCCAACCCAAACCAGCCAGGGATACTATGGTTTCCTAAAGTTGTAGGTCCTCCTCATCCACCTACAATTGCAGATTTATTCCCATCCCCAGTGTAAAATACCTTAGTCCAGTTTTATTTTATGACCTACTAACACATTGTAGGGATTAAACACTCATTTTAAACGGCTGGAATACTGGGCTTTTCACATGAGGGGAAGAAAATAATTCTGCAAATGTTCGGAAACCTGATACATTTAAAAACATATTTCAATTAGTGTTGTAACAGCTGCACACTGAGCACTGCTAAGGTATGTTATGTGGTGTCTGAACAAAGAACTTTGCCCAAGCTGTCAGGTTCTCTCAGATCAAAACTGAGGCCTTGATATGGATGTGGTAGACTAAATAGCTCTAGCATTGCCTTTTTAGTGCTAACATAAATTAATATGAAAATACGAAGTATTTTAGTCTATTCATTTCTAAATTAATTTATAAAATATGGATGATTCCCTGCCAGGCTACATCTGTGTGTGGCACGAATGCCACATGCAAGGGATGAGCAAAGCAGGCAAAGACTGAGGGACAAGCACATCGCCCAGGTTTTGGAAGGGTGGGTGGAGGCAAGTCTGGATGAGAGCAGTGGAGGTGGTTGACTTCTGTTTGAGGAAAGGAAAAGTGCTGGGAGCTGGAGGGAGCACAGCTGTGGGGAGAGAATCATAGATAGAATAGTTTCTGTTGGAAGGGATCATTAAAAGTCATCTAGTCCCTGAAATGACGAGGGAAACCTTCAGCTAGATCAGGTTTTTCAGGGCTTTGTCCAATCTGACCTCAAATGTTTCCCAGGACAGGACAGAGAAGGGTGTAGTGGGCATCAGATAAAGGTAAAAAAATAATCAGGGAATTCGAAGTAATGGAGATGTGATGGTGGAGAAGTGGAACAAGACAAGGATTGGGTTTGTTGATGTTAGGGAAAAGTAAGTTAGAGGGAAAGACTGAGATAACGTGGGCAGGACACTAAAAAGGTGCTGACTGAAAGCAGAAAGTGTGCAAGAAGCAAAAAAGGAACCAAATTAGCAATTATTGAGGTATTAGCGAGGGGATATCAATGTGTTGCTCCGAGGGTAATCAGCAGGACAACTGGGTCAGGGCAGAGGTTCATCCCATTGGGTGTTGGTAGAGCTGGGAAAGCTCCCACCTCACCCGTGAGGGTTTTCCACTGGCAGTGCTGGGGTTTGAGAGCGCTTAGGCTGGGAGTGCTTTGGGATTTTAAGCTAATTTGAGTAAGTGACTTGATCGTGCTTAAATCTCCTGAGCTAAGACTCTGGGATTTCCCCTTTGTGGCTAAACTTGTGCCCTGAATCGCAGGTAGCTGACTCCAGCTCTGGATTTGGTGCACCCCTAGGTCAAGGATGGAGGTTCAAAGCCAAAATACATTTATAGCTCAAAGCCCAGAATTTTCTTTGAGTTTGACTTTAAACCAACAGGTTAAATTGGCAGAAATGCAGATTTAAGAAACAGTTCACACAAGTAATACTGCTATAATTCAATATATCAAGTTAGAATTTTCAATTTTAGCATAAAGAGAAAAAAAGGAAAAAAAGAAACCTTGTATGCATGCAGACCTAGGAAAATCTCTTACAAAGAAATGCAGTCTGAGCCCTAATTTCCAAGCATCTACTAGTTTCCCTGTCATTTGGGTTACTTTAGCTGTGGTTTCTCCTGTATTTTACTTGCTGCCAGATCTCCCCTTCATTTCATAACACAATTTTGGCTTCCTTGAGGATTCGTTAATCACACCTTATTAAATGTGAACTTTCACAGTAGGACTTGAAGGTAGCTGTGACTGGATAGAAAAAAAAATTAGCATAGTTCTTGGTATTCATTCTTAGCAACTTTGCTATGAAAGTGGAGTTTTTTCTCTGCCTGACTTTCCGTGCTCTCATGTCCCAAGGAAAAAATCAGATCAGGTTCATAAAGGAGCAGCCTGAGTTTTCCTGGAAGCTGAGATCCTTCAGTGATCTGAAAGCATTTATATTTTTTCCTGCTGGATTTCCTTCCATGCTGGTGTTTCCTAGCCCTTTGCTCTTGGCTGGCAGTCTACCATACTCATCCTCTCCCTGCTTCTGTTTCTGTAAAATTAAAGAAACATCACACTTTCACAACTGACAGGATGGAAGGGCTCTGGTGTGAAGCTTATTCCTGTTCTGGTCGCATGCTGCATGAGCTAAGTATGATAAATACCCTCAAGGAATCAGGCCAGTTCACTAATAAGTTCCTAATGATCTGCTCTAGCAATAGGACATGCAAAGCAGGGATCCACATTTCAGGCACCAAATACCAGGATTTTAATACCCATGAAAAATCACATGAAATATAAAATAATGACCAATTGGCACCGTATCTACCTGCATGGTTTCAGCACCCAGCTGAATGACACTTAGAGTATAATTTGACATTTCCAAAATTAAAAAAAAAATAAAATCAGCTGAAGGTACTACTGTTTGATTTTATTTTTTGCCTTCTGCAATCTAAGTTTGGTGATCGGTCTTCACTAATTCCAATCTTTGCACCATATGTTATGTCTGGATATCTCACGGTTGCATCATGCTTTGCTGAGTTTTGTCGTGCGGCATCATGCTGACAAGTATTTTTTGTCAGCTCTATTTTGGAATTAAGCTTTCAGTATGGCAGTTCTGGAAGGTGTTGAAGGCATTCCTGTGCTATTTGTGGCCAGGGATCAACCAGATGTGTTTAGGCTTGGCACTGGTTTTGAGTTTCAAACATTGGTTCGAAACTGTCTGAAATGCCAAAGGAAATACTGTTTTCTGCAGCTTAACACCACTTTAGCACTCAGCGAGTGGCTGACAACATTTTATTTAGAAACCCCTTATGCTTCTGTGGCAGATGTATGTATTTGTATTTGCTCACGTGCTGGGGGAAAAACGTCTTTCTGTCCTTGAGGGCTTCCTCCTGTAGGCAAGGGTTGGCAGAGGATACCCCTGGAGTGGGTTGGGGTGGGTCCAGCTCAGGTCCTGCTGCCAGCAGCAAATCCCCCATGGACTCAGCGAGTCTCAGCTCTCTCCTGCTGTCACCAGACCCGTCAGGAACATCCCTGGGGAATCCATGTTGGCTCACCTTGGGGTGCTGGAGGTGGGGAAGGGCCGACCAGCGGCTGGCTTGTGGCTGTGTGGCACCACCGGTGAAGGCACAGAGATAAGATGTTGGCTTCCTGCTATTCATCAGCTA